CCTACATTCAGAGGCCAGGCCCCACACAGCGTTTGCATCCCTCCCTCACTGAGGGCAGCAGGTGACACGCCCAGATGGACAGACAGTGGGAGAGGAGGTGAGAGGCATTCTATTTTTTTTTCTACTTCCCCTTTGCCCTCCCCTCCCCTTCATGGAGTGTGTGCTATGATTGGCAGGTGGAAACAGTTGGCTTCTAATTAAAGTTTGAATTCTAGAAGTCTCTGCTGATTGGCTGAACCTTGGTAGGGGGAGGGACTTGCAGGCAGTCCAGGGCTTTATAAGGCAGTGGGCAAGCGACCAAAGAGCTTGCGAACAGGTGAGTGCTAACAGGGGGTTTAGAGAGGGAGTTGGGAAGGGCGTGAGGTTCTCTTGCTTTTCTTTTTAAATCCCTTCTCCAGGACAGCAGCGATGGATGGTGACAGGTCTCCTGTTGTTACCTGCGCAGCGTGTGCCATGTTTGTCTTCCTCCTGGAAGAAAGAACGGATTTCATCTGCACTAAGTGCAAGCTGGTCACCATTTTGGAAGAAAAATTTAGAGGACTGGAGGCCCAAGTGTCGACCCTATGCTTGATCAGAGAGGATGAAGGCTTCCTCAATAGAAGGCATCATTTAATCCTTCAAGCATGGTAGGTGGAAGAGCCAGAGAGGGCAGTATGGGACCAGGAAGAGAACTGGCAGCATGTAACTTCTAGAAGGGGGAAAAGGCCAGCACGGGAATCCTCCAATGCTATAGAGGTAAGCAATCGCTTTCAGGCTCTCACCACTGGCTCTGCAGTGCTGAGTGCCTTGGAAGGGACCTCACAAGGAAGAAACCGGAAGGGAACACCATCTACTGGAAGGCATGGGATGCGTAGTCCTAGGGATGGGCGTTCCACGGCCACCACCCCCAAAAGAAAACAACGGGTGGTGGTGGTCAGGGACTCCCTCCTAAGGGGCACTGAGACATCCATCTGCCATCCGGGCCTGGAATCTCGAGAGGTGTGCTGCTTACTGGGAGCTTGCATTCAGGATGTCACTGAGAGGCTTACCAAACTGATCAAACCTTCGGATCGCTACCCCTTCCTGCTTCTCCACGTGGGAACTAACGATACGGCCAAGAATGACCTTGAGCGGGTTACTGCGGATTATGTAGTGCTGGGAAGAAGGATCCAAGAATTCGGAGCGCAAGTGGTGTTCTCGTCATCCTCCCTGTTGAAGGGAAAGGACTGGGCAGGGATCGTCGAATTGAGGACATAAATGCGTGGTTGCGCAGGTGGTGTCGCAGAGAGGGCTTTGGTTTCTTCGACCATGGGACACTGTTCCAGGCACAAGGATTGTTTGGAAGAGATGGGATCCACCTAACCAAGAGAGGAAGGAGCATCTTCGCGGGAAGGCTTGCAAACCTAGTGAGGAGGGCTTTAAACTAGATTCGTCGGGGAACGGTGACCGAAACCCTGAGGGGAGGGGAAAGTCGGATACCGGGAAGAAATGCAGAGAGGAATGAGCAAGAAAGGAGGATCCTTGATTCAAATGGAGAAGATAGGGCAATTAACTGGTTACCTGAGGTGTTTGTACACTAATGTGAGAAGCCTGGGCAACAAACAAGAAGAACTGGATGCCCTGGCCCAGTCCGAGAAATATGATTTAATTGGGATAACAGAGACTTGGTGGGGTGACTTGCATGACTGGAGCATTGTCATAGAAGGGTATAGACTGTTCAGAAAGAACAGGCAGGGGAGAAAAGGAGGAGGAGTTGCACTATATGTAAAAGAGCACTATGATTGCTCTGAACTCCAATATAAAGAGGGAGAAAAGCCTGTTGAGAGTCTATAGGTTAAGTTTAAAGGATCGAACAACAGCAGTGATGTTGTGGTTGGTGTCTGCTACAGGCAACCAAATCAGGTGGATGACTTAGATGAGGCTTTTTCGGACAACTGAGAGAAGCTTCCAGATCGAAGGCCCTGGTTCTCGTGGGGGACTTTAATCACCAGTATACAGGCAATCCAGGAAGTTTTTGGAGAATGTTGGGGATAACTTCTTGACACAAGTGCTGAAGGATCCGACCAAGGGCTGTGCGCAGCTTGACCCTCTGCTTACAAACAGGGAGGAACTAACAGGGGAAGTAGAGGTGGGTGACAACCTGGGAAGCAGTGATCATGAGATGGTAGATTTCAGAATCCTGACTAAAGGAAGAAAAGAGAGTAGTAAAATACACACCTTGGATTTCAAAAAAGCAGATGTGAAGGATAACAAGAAAGGTTTCTACAGGCATGTTAACAAGAAGAAGATGATCAGAGAGGGTGCGCGGCCACTACTGGATGAAGAAGGTAACATACTGACAGATGATGTGGAGAAAGCTGAAGTACTCAATACTTTCTTTGTCTCTGTATTCACGGACAAGGTGGACTCCTGGACTAATACACTAAGTGACGCAAGATGGGATGAAGATGGACATCCCTTGGTGGGTAAAGAACAGGTTAGGAACTATTTAGAAAAGCTAAACGTATGCACATCCATGTGTCCGGACTTAATGCATCCGAGGGTACTAAGGGAGTTGGCAAATGTCATTGAGGAGCCTTTGGCCATTATCTTTGAAAAGTCATGGAGATCGGGAGAAATCCCAGATGATTGGAAAAGGGCAAATATAGTGCCCATCTTCAAAAAAGGGAAGAAGGACGATCCAGGGAACTATAGGCT